GGGGGGGGGGGGGATCGAGGGGCGCCGCCGCTGATCCTGACGCCGCCTCCGAGGCTGGGTGGCCACCGCGCTGCCGGAGGGGAGGGGCACCACGCGGTCGGGGTCAGCACGACGCCGTTCACGGGGCTAGACGTCCTCTTTCGCACGCCCAAGGTGAGAGGTTGCTGGTTTGCTTGTGTCTGTCGTTGGGGGTGTTAGGCTGGCCGTGCTTGGTTATGCATCCTCTTCCGTTTGGTGTAATTTTTTTCATGTCACGAAAGAGAGATAGATTCACGCGTTTGAAGATCGTTCGAAGGAGCGTGCTGAAGTCTTTACGTCGAGGGTTCGAGGGAAATCTGCTGAGTGGTACTTGGATCTGTTAAAGCCGACTCATGGAGAGATCTTTGATGCCAGCCGGAGCAAAATGACGCCTAAAATACCTCGTCGCTGGTGACACATGTACCCTCCGTCGGAGAAGACCTCTCGTTTTGTCTCCTTCCACGTTGCTGCCCCAATGATGTTGGTGCTTTTTCTATCGAATGCGTGCGTATGGCGTGCGTGTGTGCGTGTGCAGCGTGGCGGTCTTTTCTCGTTGTGCTGAATTGCGACCCGTCTGCTGTGTCACCGGGTCGCCTTTTTCGCTTTTTCACTTTTTCACCCAGGTTAGTCCGTGGTTGTTGTTACCGCTGCCGTGCTCGCGTCCATGTACTGCTGTCAACTACCCACCTAATTTCTGTTCTAAGAAACTTGTCGTCCATGTCCGCTTGAGTCGAGCCGAACCGTGGTCCCTCGCCCCTCCTGCCCGCATGCCCCCCCCCCCTTCCGCCCCCCCCTCAGCAACCGCAAGAAAGTGCGGAGCGATACACCCAGCACGTCGTCCACCCCCCGCTGTCCCCGAGCCGGGGGAAAACACGCTGGGCCGCCCCCCGCGTCACCTCCACGGACGGAGATAACAGCAACATCGGCCAGTCGGAGTCGCCGAGAAGATCACGCCTGACTTGGTGTGCGGGAGACGGCCAGGAAGCCATCGAAGCCAGGGGGGGCAGAGCCCCCCCGCGGGCTCAAGGGGAAGGGCCAGCGGTGCAGCAGCCACCGTCGCCCCCCCTCTACAGCCTGGGGGATGCGCGAGGAAAGTGGGCGTTGGAAGCGAGATCGCCCTCTGACCTGGGGGGCGACGGGAGGAGCTTGTCGCAGAATGCGGCGCGCGGCGGGGGGGACGGGCGCTGGGGTTCGCGTCCCCGGTCTGCGACGGAGGGAGTGGCAGGGGGCGGGGACGGTGCGGGAGGCGAAAGGGGGAGGAGCCTGTTTCCGAGCAACCGAGATACTAGGAGGTGTGTATTTGTCCCGTCGTCAGTGGCGATTGTGTTGTTCTTGGGGAGTGGCGGTTGTTGGCTTTTGAGGTTGAAATCCACAGAACCATTCTGTAGGGTACGGGAGGTGTCACAGAACCCACAGAACCATTCTGTATTGTACGAGGGTTCTACAGAACCTCACAGAACTATTCTGTATTGTACGGGGCGTTACAGAACATACAAATCTTGTCTGTAGGGTAATTACAGGGGGTAGTTACCCCCGGTACAGGTCTGTGAGTACCCTACAGAACACACCCGTGGAAAGGTTTCGTCGATTGACGTGCAGTATCGGTCCTCGTCGTTTTCGTTTCGTGTTGCTGCCCTTTGTAACCTGCTTCCGTGCGCCCTACCTTTGAGACTGTCCTTTGTAACCTGCTGTTCTAGGAAGAGAAGGAGAGAGAGCGACACGGTTTGCATGGCCACACCAACAAAGATACCTCGTGGAAACTCTTTGTTGTCGTTGTTGTTGTTGGGTGTTTGCGGTCTGCATCGCAGTATTGTCACGCCCGTGGTGTTGTATGTCGAGGTTTGTTTTGCAGCTGTGTTGGGGGATTGTTTTTCAGAGGCAGGCACATGTCTCGTGACGTTACATTTCTGTCTGAAGTGATACGTATGTCGACGTGCGACCCCAGCGCAACATGCCAACGTGACCCTCGACACAAACGGAAATTGACGGATTCCGCGTTGTTTAGGACCTCAACGAAGGGAACGCACCAGCGACCACAGCTCTTGGCCCGCGATGTCTACATGGGCCGTCTAGGCTCCCCCCCTGTTGTTGTTGTTTTTCAGAGTTTTGCGGATTGTACAGCAGTACGGTACCAGGCCGAGCTATTTTGAAGTTGATTTTCCCGCTGCTGCATGACTCTGATCAGCGAGCATGCCGGTGTTATATTTAAGCACTAACACGATTTGATTTTCCTGATACACGACTTTGATGAGCGAGCATGCGGATGTGATGTTGGAGCCCTGGTACGAAGCACAGCTCGAGGATTTGCCCGAAGGCTTATTTCGTCTGCTGGGATGTTTCTCTTCGGAAGTTGCGGTGTCGCAAGCCCCAAGCCGAAGTCAAGCTCGCGACCGTTGCTGTTGGTTGGTCGCTTGTCGACTGGAGTTGTTACCTGCATTCATTGGTACCCTGCCTAAGGTTCAGGCTGGTGTTTCATCGCGGTCAAAAGGGTTGCTTTGTCATCCCTGCCGCGCGGGAGAGAGAGAGCTCACACTTATCCGAATCTCAAGCCTCGCCCTCACATGAACGCTACGTGCCCACCATCTGTACACCCTGCAAACGAACGCGTTTCACGGCAGCTCGAACAATACCACGGCCCTTGAGCAACGTAGCATGCACCAACCAACCCCCCACGCTCAAACACTCGGCAGGTCCGACCGCGAAACGTACAGCCCCGACGGATCGACAAAGCGCGGCAGCCCCAAGCACAGGAGCAGTCCACGGAGCCCCCGGAGAAGCTCTCGGAGCCGGAGCCCGCTGTTGGAGTCAAGAGGGGACAGGGTAACGTTTTTTGTTTATTGAGACCGTTTCTTGGAGTCAAGACTGGACAGTGCAGTTTTTGTCTTTTTATCCTCAAGCCCGTTGTTGCAGTTGGTCGATATGCGAAGACAACGGCAATAATGATGCGAAGTGCTCTTCGCTGTTCACATGCGCAGGGTGAGCAAGTTGCTGGTGCTGCCGGGAGCGAAGCAGTTGCCGGGGGGGAGGTCGGCGGCGATATTGCTGCCAATGGAGGCGGTGCTTGTGCGTTCGCTGGGGGAAAGGTGGTGGCGGGACCAATCTCTCTGCTGGGGTACTTGAGAGTGGAGGTGTTTGGAGCAGAGGACCATGGGGTGGTGGACACTCAGGTGTGGTGTGGGTGCTGCAACAGGCGTCGTTTGTTTTTTGCTGTTTTTTTTTTTTTTTGCATGGGTGGAGCGAGGGGTCGCGCGGGAGAGGGCGCCGTTGTAGGAGCTACGCCAGCTGTCAAGCTCACAGAGTGCGTTCCGCGGCAAGCATGGACAGCCGTTCGTCCCTCAACAACACGGTGTACTCGTAGCCCTTGGCTGTTGGTGGACGCCTTTCTGTCGTCACGTGTCAATGGTCGACGTTGTCTCTCAGCGTAACCGTTACCCTTAACCTTTGGGCGGTGTTGTTTCTGCTGCTTCGCCTTGGCGCACCACGCCCCGCCGTACACCGGCGAACCGCACGGTTTCACCGCTTGCTCTAACTTGTTGTTATTGTTGCCATCGTCGTTGTTGCTGTCGTTGCTGTTGTTGTTGTTATTGCGGTTGTTGTTGTTGTTGTTGCTGCTGCTGCTCGATTTCACCGTTTGCTCCAACTTGTTGTTGCTGCTGCTGCTGCTCCTGCTGTTCCGTCGCCTTGGCACACCACGCCCCGCCGAATGCAGGCGAACCGCACGGTGAGAAATTTCCTGACGGTCCCGAGGCAGCTAGAGAGGCTGCTGCTGTTCGGCATGCTGGTGTGCCTCGACACCTTCCTGTACGTCACGACCTTCCTGCCAATCAGGATCGTCATCGGTGTCGTTTCGTCCCTCTTCTCTCTCCTCACGAGGTGCGGAAATTTACCGCGATCGGCGGTGTTTTACTTTTGGCCGCCCGTCGCATTCGCTGGCGTGTAACGAGCGCTTTGCTTGGTTGAAGATGTCCTAGATGCGAGTATGCGCGCATGTCCATGAGAAAGGGCGTGTGGTATGTATCACGGGGGGGNGGGGGGGGGGGGGGGGGGGGGGGGGGGGGGGGGGGGGGGGGGGGGGGGGGGGGGGGGGGGGGGGGGCATGTCGAAGTTTGCCGGGACCCTCGCACGTTGGCATGTGTCTGTTGGCGGGGTGTAGCCAGGGTATGTTGCTTGACCCCTCTTCCGCAGTCCACTTGGATTTCCTTGTTTTGATATTCTCGTTTTGTCCACCAAGCTGACGACGACGACGACGACGACGACGATTGCGAAAGACAAGGGGCGTGTCGAACCTCTGAGAATCGTGTGGACGTTTCCTCCCGCTGACGGAGACACGAGCGGTCGGTCCACCCTTGTTTTTTTTTTTTCTTGCGACTTTCTTCCTCAAGATTCTTTCGGCGTCCAGCAATTGAGCTTTGGAAATCGGTGTGTTGGCGGTGCCACCTCTCCGCCTCTTGGCGTATCGTACGAAGCAGATCAATCGTCCTTGAATCGGTCAACACACATGTCCGACGTTGTTGAAGCAAGTAAAGTACCCCTGTCGGCGTGTTGTTTTGCGTAGTTTTTTTTTTTTTTTTGGCTCTTTTCCCTCATCATGCAGAGGTCAGGATGTATGGTATATCCACGAAGTACAGACACACATTGATCAGTGAGATGTGTGACATTAGATCATTGTTGTTCCGAGGACCGTCACTCTCCTGACGTATCGTTTCCTCTTGAAATTTGTGTACCGGGCACGATCTTTTTCTTGCCAGACGTAGGAGACCGACCGTGAACCGGCCGCTGGTGTACGACTGGATGCGCGGAGCGACCTTCGCCGCCGCTCTTGGCTCCCTCCAGTTCCTGGAGATGTCGCGTGTGTACCACTACATCCGGGGGCAGGCGATGGTGAAGCTGTACGTGCTGATCGCCATGGTGGAGATCTTCGACAAGGCGAGTCGGTTTGTGCTCGGTATTAGGCTTCTGCCTTGGCTTGTCGCTGCCGATTTTTGGGGTCATTTTGCTGAGAATAGAGTGGAAGAAAATATAGTGAACCTAAATCGCAAAACAATTATTCTGAAAATAAACTGGACGAAAAGTTATTGCAGAATCAAGTCGCCAAATAAAGGCCTTGTTGGTTTGAATCAATCTGCCGGTGATGAAGTTGCGGCTCCGTGTTGCCCCTCCATGTAGACGTCACTCGCGGTGACTGTTCGAGAGAGCTTGCTTGGAGCAACCTAGCGGGATTGCTGCTGGCGTAGGCGTTGAGCGTGGGGGGAACACAAGTCAATTGTCTTTATTGCGTGTTCCGGCGGCGGGTGCTGTCCTTGCGGACGGCGTCGAGCGCACCCGCTTTTATTCTTCACCCCATCCATGTGTTCTTTCCAAAGCATGGTATGCACGTGAATGAATATTGTGTCTTCCTGCCTACCGCTGCTTGTGTTTTGGAAGAGAACGGACGGATATATCATCGGACCCAGTCAGCAGATGGAAGGCACGCCAATGGGGAGACATGTAGATTCAACGGGGGCGTTTGGTTCGGACCACATGTATGGTTGGAGCCCACGGCCAAGTACGACACCTTGACGTTGCTGGGATGTCTTCGCAAGGTTTAGCCGCACGCTTTGCTCGGGGGACTATCTGTCTTTCTCTCTGTCTCTGGCGCACACCCCAGACAACGTTTATCTTACGCACTTATTGTGTTGTTTTGCGTTTGCAGCTCATGTGCTCCTTCGGGCAAGACGCGCTGGACTCGCTGTACCTGAGCACCGTGCACAAGAAGAAGCGGAGGGTGCTGGTGCACTTCACGATCGTGTGCGTCACGGCGTGCCTGCACAGCCTGCTTCTCTTCGTGCACGTCACCACGCTTACGGTCGCCGTAAACTCCTCGGACCAGGTGCTTGTTTGTGTATTTACTTATTATCTGAGGACTTGGGGCTCCTTTCGTTGTTGATGCGGCAGATGGGTCCCAAGGTTGTACGATAGCAGCTTTTTAAAGCCCGCGAGAGAGGGCACACAGGTCTCTCTTGCGGACGGGTGCTTGCTTACGACGTGGTCGAAAGCAATGCCTGACGGGATTATTGTAGGAGACTTCCTGTAGCTTGAAAATACGGCGTTCTCGTCACCACTAATCGGCGCCGGTTCTAGAGGCACAGCCGGTACGGTCGTGCTCCATGAAATAGCCCTGGAAAACTTGGCGATTTCCGTCCGACTCGAGCTCTTGTAATAAGTGCTGAAGGCAATCTCCAGAGTCCCAATATAATATCCCGAGGAACCTCGACGGAGGAATGCGGGACGGAGGCGGCGAAATGCTTTCCCCCGTTGGATGCAACGCTTCCTTTCGAAACTGCTGGTACGAGGTTCGACCCCGGGCTGCCGTAGATGTTTTGTGCACCGTTCCGAACCTGCACATAGCCCTGACTGCATCCCTAACCCCGACGCATACAACTTGACCCAAAGCTATTCATTGGTAAGCGCTAGATCACAACTGTACGCGTAAGCGTAAGGCACGGCCCAAGAACCGGAGGAGGTTAGCGCTACACGTGGTCTGTAGGCCTGTCCTCCATCGGCCGTTTTGCTTGTATGACGGAGAATAAGAAGGTGGAATTACTTGAAATTAGTATAGAAATAAAGTTTGTGTACCTAAATCGAAAATAAAACGGCCGATGGAGGACAGGCCTAGGTTAGCGCTATACGTGGTCTGGCGTACGTGTGAGCCTGTGCCGCGCGCCAAATGTGAAAAAATGTCGAGGTTGCTCTCCAGGAAAACCTAAGCGTGGCGTGGGAGACGTGAAACGCTATTTAGGTTGCTGTGCGTGCAAACAAGCCCAAGAGGAGTTTAGCCGCGGCATAAGAGGAGGGAAAAGCCACCACAGGTTGCGGCGCAAGAGCTGCACCGACCCAACGAACGTCTTGACAATACTACTCCGACTTGGAGAGAACCACGTTCTACTAATCCCGCTACTGCTGCTTTGGTTCATGTTTTGGGCAAGGAGAGAAAAAGTCCAAAGAAGAAAACGTGTGCCGCGTTATAGATCCGCCTGCCCGGCCCAGCAAATGGCCTGTGGAAACTCCGTGGATATCTGATAGTGGTTGGTTGGTTTTCCGCGACAGTGATGGTTGGCCTTGAGTGGTCTCCTGGTTTTGCTGGTGGTCGGAAGGCTCCTATGCCTTCAGAAATCGGGTTCCGTACACTTTGCATGCGCCTGCAACAACCTACTCGTCTACACTGCCTGCCCATCCACCATTAAATGGTAACGATTTTTATTTTGCTCTCCCTCCCCCGCATTTCGTTTTTCACCTCTGGTGTTTCTTTGGCGGTAAGCATAATAGTGGTCTAGTAGATCATGTTGTGCGGGGTGGAAAACCCTCGCTCCGCGCAAGGGGGATGATCGCACCACGTTGCGTGAAGATGGTCAAGCACCCTCGAGGCAGTTACACAGTGCTTACAACTGTCTCTGGAAGTGAAAGCACCAGAAAATAAATTAATTCATACGCAGCTGTCATCCGTACGCAAGGAAGTAAGCACAAGATGCCGAACACCCTTAGCAGGATGCAGCGCACCCTTCATGCGACTCGCCGAATATCTCACGGCGCTTCGCGCTTGGTGATGTGAGAGCCTGGTCCGGTGAGAACCCGGCGTGCTCCGTCCCGGCTTTGTAGGGATGCGAGGTCAGTGGTCTAACGACTACGGCATGCACGACTATGAACTCCCCCCCCCCCTCCCCCCCGGCAAAGATTCACTACGGACACCCTCAGCGTTCACGTCGTTTTTGATAGTGGCTATCGTTCAGGTCCTGGAGGATCAGAGTTCGTCACCGTTGATGGCGTTGCTTGCCCAATTCTCGTTTCCCGCTCTCTTCATGTTTCACTCCCAACCCTGTTATTACACGAACCGCCTTCCTTCCCGCTCCAGGCGAAAACATGACATGTCCCTCCGTCCCGACGTTGTAGGGATCCTGGGTCAACGGCTAAGAGGGCCGATTAATGCACAGCTGTTTTGCTGCCAATTCTTATATTTGTGAATTCCGACTTTGAAGTTCTCCATGTTTTTCGAAAAATTGGAAGCAAATCGGTCCAAATATTCGGTGCCGGCAGTCCCAATTTCTCATTCTTTTCCTTGGCCACAAATCGAGGTTCAACGGTCTACAGATCTGGAGGTTTGCAAGCGTGGAAGCGATTTAACTCCTGTTTGAAACGGCTTCACAAGTACTACGGCATGCGTTTACGTGAGTTCATCCCCTCTCCACACCGTTTTTTTTTTTTCCGTCGGTGCTTTTTCAGGCTTTGCTAACCCTCCTAATCTCTAACAACTTCGCGGAGATCAAGAGCTCGGTGTTCAAGAAGTTCGACAAACACAACCTGTTCCAGCTCTCGTGCCACGACGTGGTGGAACGATTCAAGCTGGCGCTGTTCCTGGCGATGATCATGCTGCTCAACGTGTGCCAGGGAGGCTTAGACGACCCGGTGGCGCAGGCGAGATAATGTTCTTATTTCTTTGAAGCATACTGTTGCCGCGAAAACTACATGACGTGGCGCCCCATAAACACCCGGCAATTAATAGGCTCTCTAGAACATGAACACATCAGCCGAAAATATGTTGATGTGACTGTGAGAACAGGTACCCAGTTTAGGTTGAGAAGTCGTCGCGTAAACTACAGAACTCGCCGTCACATAAGAACTCGGGGATTAAGAAAGTCAGGCTCCGCAGGACGTGAACACATCTAAACTTGAAGCATGTGATTGTGAGAACAGGTGCCCAGTTATGGGTGGTAGCGAAACCTGCAACACGCGCAGCCACATAAGAACCAGGGAGTCAAATAACGTCAAGCTCTTAAATATTTAATATCTGAACTTAAGATGGTGACCATTAGAAGCGGTCTTTGTTAAGCATCCTGCACTATGAGCCATGCTGGAATGTGGTCCCTGTTGGCTTACCGAGCGGAAGTAGGCAAGACAGGCGGTTCTTGTGATGAAAGTGGTGGTGATTACTGTATGACCAGACCCATGGAGGCTAGCAGAGCTAATAATTCATCGGTAGAAGTTATACAGTTATTCTGAAATACCAGAGCTTGTTCTGTCTGTGGAGATTAGCAGGACGTTCTTCGTCTGTGGAAATTTACGCTGTGATTCTGCATTACCAGAGCTCGTTTTATCTGTGGAGTCTCACAACGCAGTTCCCATTCTTGGTGGGGTGTCTTGTCTTGCCCTGGATAGATGAGAGGCCGCCGCCCTCCCTGAGGCGACCCGATCGCACCAGTGCCCTCTGGACTTACGCGGGCGAGATTGGCTCCGCCGTGTCTCATCGTTTCGTTTCACCATTTAAAAGACTCCGAACAGCAGTGTCTCGGCTCGACCATACGCGTTGCGTATACGCGTTTTTGTCCTCTAAGAATGTGGCACATTTTGGCTTGTTCCTGAAGCATTCAGTTTTTTTTTTTTTTCCTTTTTTTTTTTTTTGTCGGTGCAGTTTTCTGTCATCTTCGCCATGGTTTTCGGAGGCGAAGTGCTCGCGGACTGGATAAAGCACGGGTTCATCATCAAGTTCAACCAGCTCACGCCCTCTATCTACGACGAGTATTCAACTATTCTCGCAAGGTGAGGAGGATGAGGAGGAGGAGGAGGAGGATACCTTGTTCTTACGTGCTGCCCGCCACTCCCTTGTCGATGTACCCCCCCCCCTGCTGGGCTAGCCAATCCACAAATTTTGTTCTAGCCCCTCGCGTGTGTGTGTTTGCGAGGCAGTTGTAGTCTTTTTACGTTAGCTGTGATTCCCTGTCGCCAGCCCACCCGCCGCTGACGTGCCCGCCGACCTACACAATGTGCTTGTCGTCTTCGAAATGGAATGGTTTGGTTTCTAGAGATGTGGCGGCGTTCCGTAAAGACGACGGGTCTACCCTCGACCACACGCACTTCGTCGCGAGACGGTTGGCGTTCGCGACGGTGCCCCTAAACTGTGTCATGGTGAGTCTGCAAGAGAGAGAGACGGAGTGTCAGCAAGAGAGGAGGGAGAGGAATAGGCCGATAGGAGGAGGCAGGGCATAGCGAGGGAGGGAGGGAGAGAGAGACAGAGAGACAGAGAGACAGAGACAAAGAGAGAGAGAGAGCTTGGCAGGCTCCAAATGTTTGTCCCTAGTGGATGAACGATAGCAGTCTCTCGGTTGGTTGTTCCGAGTTAGGACACTTGGCGTGTTTGGGGATTTTTTTTGGGGATTTTTTTTGGTGCCATTCGTTGTTGTTGACATGTGAATTCGCCCCGTTATTTTCTTTCCCGAAGCGTGCAGATACGATTATTCCTTTGTGTCCGGGCAGTCTTGCAAGCGGGCGCCGAGATTATCGTCCAACACCCTTAGCGTTTGGTAATGTACACCACCCCCCTTTTGTCATGATCCGATCACAGCACGCCTCGCGAACAACCGCACTTGGCCCCCGCCACCATGCCGCGCCGTGTTGTGCGTCGCAGATTCGATTCGTTCAGATGGCGGTGCCGAAGCTGTTGCAGAGGTTACCTGATGCGCCTCCGTCTGCGCTGTGGGTTTCGGCCATCCTCTTCTACTTAATGGCACTCGCCCTCAAGGTACGCCCCCCCCCCCCCCCCCCCCCCCCCCCCCCCCCCCCCCCC